CACAGGCTCTGGACGCACAGGCCCAGTGGCCATGGCTCACGGGCCCAGCTGCTCCGCGACATGTGGGATCTTCCCGGACAGGGGCATGAACCCGTGTCCCCTGCATCGGCAGGCAGACTCTCAACCACTGCGCCACCAGGGGAGCTTAAACTCATCTTTTGAAGTGTGAACAGTTTCTGCAAGATGCAGTGGAGGAGACAAAAGAAGATCTATAAATCTCAGCTGATTTTTTTTTTCATTTATCAAAATGAAATGAATACCCAAGAAGTAAATGCCTACTGCTAGCCTGACCCTAAACAAGGAACTTGCACCTTCAAAGTATATAATTCCAGCTACAAACTTCAAGTACTCAATGGCAGGTGATGTATTGTAGGTTTATATGCCCTGCCCGGTACATTTCAGCGCACTGGGGCTTTTTCCCTGTTCTGAACAGTTTCCAGCGTTGAGACCTCAAATTGAAGTATTTCTACGTGACCTGGGCCAGCCGCCCAGTGTCCTCTCCTTCCTGTCTCCCAGGAGGTGGCCATGCCATTAAAGCATCACACCATCCTAGTCTGACTTCTCCTTAGAAGAGCTGTCCTCCGTGCAGGCTGCAAAATGCTGCTAATTAGGTGTGACTGGCCTCTCCCTTTCAGTGTGCCTTATGTTCCCTTTTCTCCAACCCCCACCCACTTCTTTCCTCCTTAGACTGAAGAGCTCCCCTTAGATACAACATGATTTAGAAATCAGAGCGGTGGAGGCAATCAGGATAGTTACATATTACATAAGGCCATTAAAGATCCTTCATTCACATCGAGTGCCCCTTTGTAGTGAACGGTGAGGCCCTGGGGAGGAGGTTTTAACCTCTCTGCAGGGAAGCAGCCTCAGAAGCTGAAGATTTCCCCGCCCAGGATAAAGGCAGCAGCCTGTATGTAACAGACCAGTCTGTAAGGCAGCATTGCTTCACAGTGATGCAGAGGGGGGAAATGTTTGCTCAATCTTCTTAGGGTCCCTGGCTTGATCTGAAAATTAAACTGACAAAGACAGAGAAAAGCATACAAATTTCATTGAATTTCTACATGTAGATGAGAGAGTCTTCACAAGAAAATGAAGACCAAGAAAGTGACCAGAGCCAGAAGTTTTTATACCTTTTCGACAAGGAAATAGTAAATTTGTGAAGAATTGGAAAGACAAAGGGGTTTGGGCCAGGGGTAGTTAATGGTGAAGGAGTAACTAGGAAGGTGAAGGTTAGTTTAGCAAGGTTTGCTTATACAGGCTGCTTGGCCCTAAATTTTCTATCTCTGGTGTTAAGAAAGTCTTCTTTCTGCCCTGTACAGGGAGGGTAGCTTTCACAGGGGAGTTTTATGACCTGTTTCAGGGAAGAAGGGTGACAAGGCAGGGAAGAGTGACCTTCTTGCTTCTGCCTGTTTTTTTAAAATTCCTTAAGATATTTAATACGCCAAGCTGCCATATTTGGGGGTGACCTGTCTTGAACCCCATCAGTGAGAACACTGATTCTGGAGTCAGCTGGACTGGGGACTGGGCTTTGAATCAACATCACCACTTGTTAGCTTCGAGACCTTGGGCAAATTGCTGAATTTCTCTGGACTTCAAATCTTTCATCTCTGAAGTAGGGGAATTTATATCTATCATACACAGTTGTATGATTTAGTGAGACAGTCTGCATGAAGTGTTTAATATGGAGCCTATGTTCAAAAAATGACAGCTATTATTATTGAGTGTCCAAAGTGCTGTCCCACTGAGGGCTTAATTCTTTAAATTTACAAGGTGCTTTTTCTCATAGTACCTAACGTGACCCTCATGCAATCTATGAGATAGACATTTCCAAGGTAGGTATTTTATCTCCTAGGAGACTTTTTTTCCCAGATCTTGTAAGTAGCAAAGTCAAGACTCAAAGCCATCACTTGAGGGTCCAGGGCACTGACCCCTGGCCACAAAGTACCTCTTGACTCTCCAGGGGAAGAGCCAGCATCTGCAGAGACTGTGATTCCCCTGTGACTAATGAGTTTCTAAATGATGTGCAGTGGTGTGTTGTGGTTGTTTTCATTCCATCTGCTTGATTCAACCAGGCAGCATTAAAGCTGAGAACTCCGGCTCTCAACATGCTGTCAATTTGTTTAATGATTATTCTAGGAGCAGGTGATTTCTATTAGACGGCAAGTGACAGATTGCCTATTAGAAAGAAGTGCATGTTTTTCAAACTAGGGACCCTCAGCACTCAGGGGAGCAGAGCTGGCTCTTGCCAACCTGGAGCTCAGTAGCCAGGTTAATGATGTGATTATCCGAGTGTTATTTGGCCAGGCTGGGGTACTAGACTCTGAGCATCCCTATTGCCAACTGCTGTTTCACTCCAGAAGCAGGTGGGAGACGTAGCATGAGAAAGAATAACAACCGGTGTGTGGCAGGTTTAGAAAAAAATCTGGAAACCAAAAGGGCTCCCAGAAATTTATTTGCCGGTTAGAGAAGGGATTAGGGGAGGACTCACAGAGCCAAGGGAGAGTGTCCTGGGCCATCTTTCTTACAGCACCACTGACTTTCTAGGGGACACTTGTTGAATTTCTTCTACCTTTCTGTGCTTTGTTATCATCTCATTAAATGGGGACATTTTTAAAGATTCCCCTATTTCTTGATTTCTGGGGTGGACCTGGATTGTCTGTGATTGAGATCACTCTTATAAAATGGTCTTTGCAGCAAGGACAGCCCAAGCGGAAGACAGCATTTTGAGCGGAGATGCAATACAATGATTTACTGTTTGGGTTCTTTCATTGTATTTTCTAATCCAAGGATGGTGCTTCAAGGCAAGGATTAACTTTGCAAACATAAGTTACAACTCTCTGATGTATGAAAGTCCAGAGAGGAAAGATACCCAGAGCAACCTTTCCCAGACTACTGAGATTCCTGTGCACAGCCCCAAACATCTGTCCCCCCTCCAGCTTCCAGGAGCTGAGCCGAGGCATTTGCAGACAAAGAGAGAGAGATAGGTTCTCCTTTACCCCCTGTTTCTCAGGACTCCATTTCTTCCCCCTACTCAGAGCAGGAAACTGCAAAGGTGTGATTTTAGAAGGTTTTATTCGTATGTGCCCCAAAGCAAAAAAAAAAAAAAAAAAAAGCCTAACTTTTCCTTTAAAAGAAAAAGGATAGGGGTGCAGGGGGGGGACCTTCAAGGCCAAAGTTAGTCAGTGTTGCTCCCTAGTGGCAAGATTTCCAAAGAGCAACCTTTGCTTTGGTGAGTACAGTAGTCCCTGGGGTCCGGGAATGTTGGTTCCAGGACCACCTCATTACCAGAATCCCCGGATGCTCAAGTCTCATATAAAATGGTGTGATAAAGTTGCCCTCCATAGCCGCCAAGTTCCACATCTGCAGATACGGAGGGCTGACTCTAAGTGCAGTGACACTTGTCACTGGCCCTTGGCACTGGTGATTATAGACGGTATAAATGAGGAGGGGGAGGGGTCCTTGCTCAGCGATGGCCGTTCCACAGAGTTTGGCTTTCTCAACCAGCAAATAAAATCTTGCCACCAAATTGCTTTCTCCTTTCACTGCCTCTTGGCCAGAAAGGACGTGACCCATATCCCTTTTGTAGCACTTCCCGTGCCTCACCCCCCTGCCCAACCAGCAATCAGTTCAATGCTTGTTAGAAGTGAGATCAAAAGGTTTTTTAAAATACTCAGGAGGCCCAGAGATTTTACCGAAGAAGCTGACCATTAGTGCTTGATGACTGCTCACCATCCTAGGGTTATCTTTTTCCTCCAAAACGCTGTGCATTTGGATGGGCGGGGGGCTCTGCTTTCACAAATTGAAGCATATATTCCTCTGCCTTGATCTCGGTTTCCTCATTAAAAAAAAAAATAAGTACAACTTGGGGAATGAACAGATTTAATGCTCAGTAATTCTTGTACCTCAGTGCTTATCTACATAGTTTTTACATATTCCGAAAGGCCCTTACTTCAAGGACATACTGAAAGAAGAAAATAAGTGTATTCATGCAGTAGCTACGTTGAAACTGTGTATCAAGGGTATTGCTTATAGAGGCAGTTTTTCGACAAATGCAATGAAAATCACAATGCTGGTGAAGAGAGTCAGAAATACTAATAAAGAGGGCAACATTACCCTGTGATGGGAGAAATAAGAGAGCTACGCGAATAAGCCAAGCTCTGTTTTAGCAGATGTTAACCAGTCTCAGAGCATTTCATTTGCTTCGTGCGTGCATATCACTTGTTTGGATTTTCTTTAAAAATACGTAGATAAAAAGAAATTTGGTTTCTAGGAAGTTATTTTGTGTCTCTAGAGATTTCATTTCTCTCCTGACATAATTGGAAAACTGCTGGGTTGTTCCCCACACCAAAGATGGAGCTAAAATCCAGTCCTTGCATCTCCTGCCAAAACTCGCAAGGAGACGGGTATTTGGAGAGGGGTGTTTGGGTTAGCGTGCCAATTAAGCGGGAGCTGATACAGAAAAGATGGCTTTCATCTCCTCTGCTGTCGGTGACAGCTCAGTTTTTCCATCTAATCTCCAAGTTGGATATGATTGCCTGGAGACTCCGACACACAGTTTGTTGAAATTGGGATTTTGGAAACACACTCACACAGCACCCAGAGGAATCATGCAACCAGCTGCTGGGACAATGCTTGGTGATCCACCTTAGCTTGTCCATGGTAGACCAGTAGTTCCAAACAGGAGCAGTAGACAGAATGGGCAAAGCGGTGGCCTCGTGATTCCTGCATTGGAACCACAGCCAGAATCGCTGGTTGGAGCTGCCAACATGAACCTCCCCGTTGTTGCTCTCACACCACTCTTGCTGGTGGGCATTAAGCATTCCAGTGAAATCACCAGCTTCATGTTCAGCTGGGCTGATTGCTGAAGAAGCTGATTGCATTATTCATTCTCGTGAAAAGATTTTTCGGACTCTCAAGGATCCATAGAGATTATATTGAAAAAAAAAAAAACCCAAACTCCAGAGTTATCAACAGTCTAATTTATCCTTCTATTCTTTCAAAAGGGACAGAGCCACAGAGGATACGTAGAGAAAGCCTGAACAGAAAATGGGTTTTTGGTGAGTTTAGAAGCCCTGTATTTTGTACAATTTGTCTCTTGGTTTTTGTTTTTCATTTCTCCTTTCTACTTCTTTTCCGGACAATTCTTCCATCTTCTTAAAAACAACAACAAAACCAGAACCAACCAACCAAACAAAACCCTGCTGGTTGCTTATTTCCCTATGAAATACTTCCATCTACTGGCCAAATGGAGAAGGCTCACGTCTCAACTTTTTTGTTCTACTTGTACGAGGATTTATGAAGACCACCCTCCAAACATCTAGTACAGTAATCAGAAATCACAAATCATAAAATTAAGGAGGTTGAGGAAATTCTTCACTTTGAACCTAACAATTCACCCAAGTAAACCTCCATGTATTTGACACACATATGCAGTTTGCAATCACCCAGAATGACGTATAACTCTGCAGTATCACAGAGAGCAAATTAGTGAGAAGAAGGGCTGAGAGGCCAGGCAGAGAGATGGGAAGAGATGGCCTCTCTGGCAAAGCAGTTAGCATCTTTCTAATCAGATTGCAGGGAACGAGGCTCTGGGTTCAGAAATGGAATCAGAGATTATGGTCTAGGTAACCATGATTCCTCTATGAAGAAAAGTAATTCCGTGAGAGCTGAAAAGAAAGAAAGTTGTGTTCCAAGTTAACTTATCAGAGGGGACACACTTTCAATAAAAAACCCTCAGAAACGATGCTTCTTCCTTCTTGTTCTTTTTTTTTTTTTACATTTCATACCTGTGCTTCATTTATTGTATTTTGCATCTGGAAGTTTGCACCTCTTAATCTCCCTCACCTATTTCTCTTTTCCCCCATCACTTCCTCTTTATCCATTCCTCTATTGATGGGCACTTAGGTCGCTTCCATATCTTGGCTATTGTAAATAATGCTGCAATGAACATAGGTGTGTATGTACCTTTTCAAATTAGTGTTTTTTCGTTTTCTTTGGCTAAAATACCCAGGAGTGGAATCGCTGGATCATGTGATAATTCTATTTTTAGTTTTTTGAGGTATCTCCATACCGTTTTCCGTAATGGCTGAACCAGTTTACATTTCCACCAACAGTGCACAAGGGTTTCCTTTTCTCCACATCCTTCCTGCTTCTTTTCGATGACAGCCATTCTGACGTGTGTGAGGTCGTATCTCACTGTGGTCTTGATTTGCATTTCCCTGATGATTAGTGATGTTGAGCATCTCTTCATGTGTCTCTTGGCCATCTGTATGTCTTCTTTGGAAAAAATACCTATTAAGATCCTTTGCCCATTTTTTAATTGGGTTGTTTGGGGTTTTTGGATGTTGAGTTGTATGAGTTTCTTGTTCATTTTTTAAAAAGAATCCATATGGGAGATGGAATCAGACAGTGGAATGTGGAAAGGTGTTTACAGTCTATTAGAGAACTAATCTGGGCTTATAGAATCAGAGATTCATAATGTGTCAAAGCTGGTAGGAATCTCAAATACCAGAACAGCCTCCTCGTTTTACTGATGAGAGAATTAGGATTGGAGGAGCATAAGAATCCTGTGGAAAGACTTCTATTTCAGAAGTAAACCAACAAATTCAACAAAAGGTAAAAATAAAACTCAAGGTTTCTGTATGGATTTTCAATACAAGTACATTGTTTGTAATACCAGCCTCTCCAGAGTCGATAATTTCTAATAAACAAACCCATATGCTCACCAAAGTAGCATGGACGTTCTTCTGGGCTAAAATAACTACCACAGTGGACCATCTTCGGTGCTTTGTCCACTTAGAATAAATGGGGAATGACAGAGCGAAGAAAAAAGTACAGTGCCTTTTTTAAGTACGGTGAGTTTCAATAGATCACGGATCTAAACAGAACCTGGACTAAATCATATTCCCTCAAAAGAAATCTCTCTTTAAAATGGGTTCATCTACTATCTTTCCTATTCTGTGCAACTTTAAGGAGAGGAATTAAACCCAAATTGAAAACTGAAGGAGGTGAAAGGTAAAGATCTGGTGCCTAAAATAGCTTCATGGAAATACCTTGAGAGGCAGTGCAGCATTTCCAAAGTGACAGACATATTAAGTCAACAAGAAGATGCTTACCTCAGACGCAGCTTCCACTGTGATATGAGTGTCCTGGGGAGGTAAAACCATCTTCATCCTTGACTTGAGACCTGATTTTGTCATTGACTAGCTGGCTGAACTGAGGCCTCCCTCGTATGTCTTCACCAGTGTGTTTGACCAATGGTGTAGATGTCCATTGGGGTATGAAGTAAACCCCTGCTTTTTGAAATAGAAGAAGGTAGGGTTAAACCATTAACTAGGATGGATGGTTTTAGGCCGTTAAAAGATACCATTACCACATTACTCATTACTTTCAGAAGCATTCAAAACACACACATTCGTGAGTGCTACTCTGTACACTTTAAAAATGAAGTTCTTACTTTCTCAGATACGGCACGTTTCTTGAAGAGAGCAAATTTTTGAAATGAAACATTTATTTAATCTCATTATAAAGTATAATTTTTCCAGAACATCTGAGTGCCCAGAGGTAAATTACAGAGATGTGTACAAAGTGAAGCTGTTTTTCTAATCAGATCACTGGCATGTTAAAAAATTCATCTGAACTGGAAAATAAATAAATAAAAAGTTCATCAGTAGCAGAGTCTTCATTCCTTAAGCCTAGTCTTAAAGGCACAGCAGTGAAAGGCCCCAATGACCACCGGGAAGTACCAGCCAGAGGGCGGGGCCAGCCTTGACGCCGCCTCCTCCCCACATGCAGACCTGACCCCCTGGACGGACTTCCCTGACACCTGCCCACTCGACTCCACCCAGCAGCACCTGGGTCTCCCCTGGACTAGCCTCCACTCACTCTGACCAGTGTCTTCTCTGTATGGAAGCCAGGACCGTCCTTTCAATCACTTAGCTCCCTTCTTTAAAGTCCTTCAGCTGTTTCCTCTTAAGATAAGAATTTTTTTTGTTTGTTCGTATTTCTTTTTATCTTAAACTGGAACACAAAGGTTCCCTTCTGACACTGCCAGCCTTCTCTTGGGCCACTGCTTTCCAGCCAACCAGCATCTCCAGAAGTGCCATTTCCCTTCCCACCTTCACCCACGAGAATCCCCCAGCCTCACAAGGTTTGTCCCAGCTTCCCGAAGCCCACCGGGGCTCCGGGCCCGGGTAGCTTCTCACGCTTCAGACCCCAGCTTCAAACACGACATACTTGAGGCAGCCTCCTCGCCACCTCTAGGGATCCTCACCTGGGTGAGGGGCCTCCTTCCACTGCTTGGCTTCTTCCCCAGACACTTTGCAAGTTTCTAATTGTAAACGTCTTCCTCCAGTAACTATATCCCCTGGGAGGGGATGAACTAGGTTTGTTCTGTTCACCACTGTGCTTCCAGTGCTTGGAACATAGTAGTTGCTCAGTGCGGATGTACACATGTGCATAGACACACACATCATGTCACCGTGTACACCCACACATATACACACCACACACCACGCCCTATGCATATACACACTGCTGATGGCACTTCCTTCGGAGGACAGTTTGTAGTGAGACGTGGGAAATATGGAGTAGAAAAGTGTGATTAACTTAAGATCCGTGTATCAATAGATTCAGTATTTCATTCAGCTAACAAATATTTTGAAAGATCTATGATTTATCCATTCGGTCACCAGTTATTTACTAAGTTCATGTGATTTGCCTGGTATGTGCTGGGTGTATGGTTGGACACAGGGTACTTGGTGAAGAAGACAAGAGTTGCGATCCCCAAACTTGTGGAGCTTATGGCCTGGCGAGGGAAGATAGAAAATAAACCAGGCAACGAGGAACTAACAGAACTGTAAGTGCTATGACGTGCTAAGGAGGACGGGGTTGGGACGCCGTAACAGAATCCTGGGGCACGGGGCTGGGCCCTCCTTTTGGTAGGATGGTCAGGAGGTCGTGAATGGGCATTCAAATGAAGACTTGAAAGTAGCAGCTGCTAGAGATGGGAGTGGGTGATCCAGGCAGAGAGAACAGCGTGTTGTAAAGGCTGGAAAGAGCAAAGCCTGCGTGTTCTTGTAGCCAAGAGGAAGCAGTGCGGCTGGAGCGCAGTGTGGATGAGGCAGCATCCACAGTGTGAATGGGGTGCAGGGTGATCAACTAGCCCAGTTTGTCCAGGACTGAGGTGTCTCCCAGGGTGTCGGATTTTACTACTGAACCTGAGACAGTCCTGGGGAAACGGGGATGGGTGCACAGCCTAGGTTCAAGATGAATTTGGAGACTGATTTGAAACCATCCACACATTTTCTGACTCACCACAGAAGCTAATAATATTATCACAATAAAAGAACATTAGAGAAACAGACTACCTGTCTGTTTAAATTGAATTAAATATTTTTCTGTTCTCATAGGTCGGTTTCCAGGAAAAGGGGAAAAGGTGCCTAGACAGCATCTTGGAAAGAATTTGTAATACTTTGACAATATTCAATCACAAAAGTTAGGAAGTGAGAAAATTTCATTGATGGTGACAGCTATTGTGACTAAAGTCAATGATGTGAATGAACTTTGACTTGGAAACTGTGATCTTATTTTCCAAATACCTATAGGTGTATAGTGTGTATGTGATATAAACAAATAAATCCATCCCTTCCTCCCTCCGTCCCTTCCTTCCTCCCTTCCCTTCCCCTCCCTTCCCTTCCTTCCTTTATCCTCCTGCCTCTTCCTTTCTTTATGATCAGTGCCATTCAGAAAAAGAACTCTAATAGCTAACAGTACCTTTTCTTGTATTGAGTTTTATACTTTTCTAAATATCCCACTACCTTATTGAGTCTCAATGATTCTATCAAGTCTGTATTGTCATAAAATAAGACTATGAAAAATTGAAGCGACTTCGTAGGCACCACATAGTAACTTAACAGAAGATAGCTTAATGATGGCATTTTGTGAAAATTACAGGTAAACTTAAAGGAAGGAAATATACCTGTGGTAGCCTTTCTAGGAAATGCTATCGCTACGTCTGCCACTGGTAGCAGAGTCATGACAGACCCCAAAGGACAACAACATTTCTCCTGGGTCTCATCAGCTCATGTCAGGTCATCTTCACAATAACTAAGAGGAACTAGCCCCTCCCTCGGGCACTGACATTTGCCTGCCACTCGTGCACACTGAAAGGCGTGACATTTCTTACATCTTTGAAAACATCAGAGGAAATAAAAGCTATTGCTCTCATTTTGAACTTTACCTCCGCTGGACTAAAGGGTTTGCTGACAGGGTGGGGATAAAAGCAAGAAAGGGGAGGATCCCATAAGGAAGAGATAAGGGGAACAGATTCCTGAGCTCAAAAGCAACCAACCAACGTTCGCCCGGGTGAAATTGCTTTCTGCAGCTCCTGCAGTCTGTACCATGCCTTTCTGACTGAGAGGATATGCAAAACTCCTGAAGTGCTTTTCTCATCCGTCCTTCTGTGGTTACTGAGAATGTGGCATCACTTAGAAGAATCAGCACGTTGACACACGTGTGGTTGGAAGTCATTTCACTCAAAAAGAGTTGTGCTGAAGTTGTTTGCACAAACCAAATAGATGACCCTTTGACCATGGCCACAAAGGATACAGTTTCCGCAGGGTCGTGGAGAAAGTCAGTAACAGCATCCAATCTAGAATTCTGGTCTTCGAAGACCGATGTCGTGGACCTTCTGCCGTTCATTCATTTGCGTCCTGTGAGTTGGCACCTCGGTTGTTACTGGACCCTCTCGCTGTTACTGCGCGGGTCTCAGGACTCTGGTACACCGAAGTCCAATTCCTGGAATCATTACCATGTGATCATGACATCATAGAAGAAGCAGCCCGACAGTTCTGTCTCCTGTTGTGTCTAACCAAGTCAGAGGACGATAGTGGGGAAGCCCTGGGGAAAATGTCTTGTACAGCTGAGATCCAAGCAGCGTTTATTCTTTCCTCCCTTGTGACCTTCTTCAGTGGACTCCTCATCTTATTAATATCCAGGCTGATCTGGAGGAGCATTAAAAAATGGCAAAAGAGCGAGGGAAAAGGAATTTTCTCAGTCAGTTCCCCTGTATGAAGATCGGAGACAGGTTTGGCGTGCGTTTGTGTTTAGAAGACCATGGAGGCTTCACTCAGTTTTCCCGGGTTAACAGCCAGCTCTGATGTGGTGACTTAGAAACGGGTCCATCTTGCTCAGGGGTGGAAAACAGGACCCCAGGCCGCCATGCCAAAGGGTGCAGCTGCAGGGCCAGGCCTCCTCTCCCACCACTGGGAGAAGCAGTGCCTTGTGTGGATGACGATGCATGTGAGCTCTGGAAGCAGATGTCATTGTTTTGAACAAAACACCCGCTAACGTGAGGTCTATGCCTCTATTTCAAATTTTAAAATGACAGTTGTGTTAGGTACCATGAGGAAGGCAGAAAGGAACGTCAGTGTCAACCTCACCTTCATGAATCATTCACGCAGGATGCTCATATACTCACAAGTATACATTGCCTTTTATACACGTTAATACAACACACGGAGTTGTGCACACATGCCGAAACCCATGCATACGTGCACACGCCATCCAGCCACAAACTCAGGGACACTTTTTTACACCCAAACAAGCTTTGCAAGGGTGGGCACTATTGAATAACAACTGGAAAATGATGATGGTAAGAATAATGGTATCCTATCCAGATAAGACTCTGCTTAAGAGAATAAAAACGCTCAAACGTTACATAATGGCTGTTCTGGTACCAATGGTTGAAAGCAAAGATCTGTTCACAGTTTTTCTTTCCCCAATTTTATTTTTCTGATTTCCATAACAGAACACATCAACTGTGTTTTGTAATTAATACTGAAAAGTTGCTTGAAACATTGCCTCTTGATGCTAAACATTGACATAAAATAAAAGAATATATAACTCGGTAACTTTTTAAGGTCATTGCCAGTGTCATCATATGAAATTCAGGTGTCTGCATTCTAGAAGTGCCCAATATGGAATTCTATAGATTTTGTCGCTCAATGAGTTTATGCTATTACTAATTATTTCTAGATTAAAGGCAGTAAGCAGCGGCATAGCGATTGGGGAATGAATCCTGGGGTTCTGATTTCTTAACAGCACTGGCGGTGCGTGAATGGGTACTAGATGTGGTGACTATGCCTTCTGCCTGTTTTTTTCAGTGCACAACTGAATTGGTAGAATTGTTTAATCTCCTTTGACTTCTGCTCCAGGAAATGTATCTTCTTCCCCATTATATTCATTTTTTGTGTGGTTACAAAAATGTGAGAACGCATTTGTCCATAAACATTTGCTGTATTTTTCATTTCATTCTTTTGATATAATTTATATCTGCCCTCCAGTCCAGAGGTACCTTTTCATTTCGAATAGGAAGCAGATGTTACAAAATGTTAATAAGCAGGGTCTGCTTTTAAATCTTGACGAGAGAGTTTCATAATAGTTGAGTGACTGCTTAATAATTTACCATATCTAATTAAATTGAGAGTGTTGTATTTTTCTCTAAGCCTTTGGGAAAGTTGGCCTAATGCAAAATTGTCACAAATCTAAGTACTGTGGAAAGTTCTTTTAAAAATTATTTGGAGGGCTTCCCTGGTGGCACAGTGTTTGAGAGTCCGCCTGCCGATGCAGGGGACACGGGTTCGTGCCCCGGTCCGGGAAGATCCCACATGCCGCGGAGAGGCTGGGCCCGTGGGCCATGGCCGCTGAGCCTGCGCGTCCGGAGCCTGTGCTCCTCAACGGGAGAGGCCACAACAGTGAGAGGCCCGCGTACCGCAAAAAAAATTATTTGGAGAGTCATAATTTTCTCCTTAAATGTGCATTTTAAAAGATATACTACATTCATAGGTATGATTTTATTATATCTTAGGGCCAGTTTGTTTTGCCACAAAAGGCACCTCAGTTTTATAATGGAATTCAAATGAGTGTTCCATATTCATGCCATTGAATATTTTTTTAAAAAATCAATGCCCAGACCACTTCCCAGGCATGCACAGGATGAGCCATAAGTATTAGTGGCAATCATTGATCGAGATATAAACTCTATCAAATAACCATTTAATGAGACTTCTCTTCTTACCATTCAGAAAATACGAATAGAAAAATTAAATCATTTCAAAAACCTGGCTCCACATAAAATGAGCTTTTCTAAAAGTCAGAGAGGTCTCAGTCTGCATGGTGTGGTCAATCCCGGTTCACTTGTGTCTTTCTCAGGGGTAGTTCAAGACTGTCAACAGACACAGAGGCCAGTTCAGACTCCAGACTGTCCTCATTGCCTGCCCACCGGCAGGTCATTTAATTTCTCTGTACCTCGGTTTCCTTATCAATAGAAAATGGATTTAATCTGACTTACTTTGGCTACCTCATAGGATTATTATAAATTTCAAAGACAGTGGTCCCTTTGTGGTTGCAGGACACACCCCCAAAATCTGAGGATGCTCAAGTCCCTTATATATAGCATAGCATAGTACTTGCATATAACTTGTACACATACTCCAGTACACTTCAAATCATTTCTAGATTAGTTATAACACCTAATACAATGTAAATGCTGTGCAAATAGTTGTAAATATAATGCAAATGCTATGTAAATAGTTGTCAGCACCCCATAAATTCAAGCTTTGTTTTCTGGAACTTTCTGAAATTTCTTTTTTTAAATATTTTCTATCCGACGTTGGTTGAATATGCAGTTGCAGAACCCGTGGATACAGAGTGGGAATTGTATAATAAGTAAAGATAGTTTGTAAACTTGAGGAAGGATCATAATTTCAACAGGATGTGATACCAAATAAGGAATAAAATCAACATAAAATAGCAAAAAGTTTTCTTCTTCTTTCTCACTCAAAAAAGCAAATACTTAAGTATCACCTGGAAATCCATTTGTAATTTTTTTTCTTTGTCTGTGTATCTTGACAGAAAAGGATAAGACACTCATTCCCAGAACAGAGAGAAGCACGCTGTTCCCGACCTTGATCATAACAGTAGTGTCAGTGTGAAGGGTCTGGGGCTGAGAGTATGTGAGATGGGCATGGTGAAGACTGCAGAATTCAGAATGAAAATACTGCCGAAGCGCAGTAAAATACAAACCCAGGAAAATTCATCGTGTGAAGTAGGGAATAAGTGAGTCCAGGGTTCCCGGCCTTGGGCAAGGTGTAGTGCGTTCTGCCTGATGCTCCAGCAGGAGACACCATCAACACACATAAAACAGATGACCTTCCCTGAGACCCAGCTCACTCTCGATTTCTTTCTCTTGCTTCTAGGAAGAAACGTCACGTAGCATGGACCGTAAACATTCAAGAAGTCTCACTTTCCAGGGAGTCTTTCGTGATCGTGTAGAAATGTTGCTCTCGGCACAGACCTTTGTGGGACAGGTGTTGGTGAGTACATTTCCAGTGCTCACTTGCTAACGAACTTTAGCCACGAGTGTGATGTATGGTCAGTGTGAAAGCATCTGGTGGCCTTTTCTAAAATACCACTACCTCCCAACGGCTATCTCCTTGTGTCTATGCTCTCTAGTGATGATCCTGCTTGCTTTTCCTTTGGAGTGAATATAATTACTTGGCATTACATTTTCTATTTGTTGTCAGCCTGTCCACTAGAAGAAAGACTTTATTAGGGCAGAGGTTGTGTGCCTTTCATTCTCCTTGCGTGTAGATGGATGTCTGGCATGCAGCTGTTGCTCAAAAAATGTTGGTTTTCAGTGGATTCTCTGCCTTGTGAGGTACAACTATTTTCCCCTCCTTTGATTCCAACAGCTTCCTTTCTTCATTTTACAAACTGGTCTTTTTTGCCCCTCTATGATATTTATCATTTACTTCCTGTTTTAATCTAGGTAAACATGGACATATTAAAACTCAGTCCAGGCATCATCTCCTCAGGCAGATTTTACCTTATCTCCATATTAAGCTAAGAGTCCCCTTCTCTAAGTTTCTATCATTTCCATTGAACGCTGTTAAATTAAAATTATCTGTGCATAAGCCTGTCTACCCTAATGCACTATGGACTCCTTGAGAGAAAAGACCGTCAGGGAAATGTTCACACCCCATTGTCTGGAAATAGCAGATGCCCTGTAAATGAATATTGCCCCATCGTCATTTCAGTAGCATCGTTTGATCTGACACATTCAAAAACAATCTGTAATTTGAGGGTATGCTGCCATCCCATGGTGGCATGGTGGAAGGGGACGTATGTGAGCTAAAGATTATCCTCTGCTTTTTGTAATTAGTACAAACATCGTTCTTTTCTAGTTAATGTTGTTTAATTACGATCTAACTAATTTTTAAAACTTATCTTAAAGTACATAAGTACAACTGCTTTGATAAACTCTACAGGGAATACTGAATCATCTGGAAATGTGTCTCTCCGTTTTTTTCCTTCTAAAGCTTTGGTCTCTTTTTTGAAATCCTTGTGCCTATGACCTGTTAGAGAAGGATTTTGTGACTCTCTCTGATTTTTATCAGGGATTTGTTAGTTAGGATCTCTTCAAGTGTTCAAATCATGTTGGATCATATGTAGATAATGTTGGAAATAAGGTAGTAAAGGACCGTGGGGTGAGGCAGAAGAGAACTTCCACCATCTACCATGTAAGCACTGCATATAGGGATTGGGTGGGGAAGAAATGATCATTGACTACATATCAATAAAAATTATTTCTTTAATGATGGAAAAATTGTTCTTTCAGTCTGTTATAGCTTATGATTAAACGGTTGGAACAACAGGAAGCGTGGAGGAAAGGTTAAATTAGAATAAATAGTCTAGCATTGAAACACAAAATTGAGACTCTCAGTGAGGGTTCCAAGCAAGTGTTTTATGAAAGGATGAGAAAGAAAAAAAGTGGCTTATAGATTTCCTTCCTTCCATCCATCCTTTGTAATTTCCTTCCTTCTTTCTTTCAACAGATATTTACTGCTTGCCAACTACACGCAAAGCATATATACTCTAGACATGATGAAATATGCAGGCAAAAGTCTTGCACTTATGGGACTTAAATTTAAATTCTAGTGGGGGTAGAGATGATGAATGTGCACATAAATAGATGAGATAAATTCACATGGTGATCAGTGCTGTGAGGGAATGACGAATGACGTGTTTGTGAGTTTTGGTGGTTTTGGTGTTAGATCACATTAGATACAGTGATCTGAGAGGAAATCTCTGAAAAGGTAAGATTTGAGCTGAGACTTGAAGAATCAGAAAGATAAAAGTGATTGAACAGTGGAAGGAACAGGTTTCCCAATAGAGAGAAGAGACTTGTGGATGTAAAGGGCTCAGATTACTGCAAGTACCGAATGAGGCTCCTGTGCTAGAGGCCAGGAGGGCAGAGGACTCTGCGGTCTGAGTGGAGACAGAACCATGCAGTGCTTTGCACTTTGTAGCAAGGAGCTAGGCTATTCAAATGGAATAATTTTATTCTAGTGCAAAGGGGAGTCACTGAGGGGTTTTTAAGCATGGGTTGACATGGTCTAATTATGTTTTAGAAATTCAAGAGGCATTAAAGTTTGAAAATAAAGGAATTGTCAAAGGCATACTAGGCAAATGACAGTAGTGTGAATTCAAGGCAAAAAAAAACAATAAACGAAGCCAAGTAGCCTGTATTAGTTTCCTAGGATTGTTGTAACAAAGTACCACAAACTGAGTGGCTTAAACAACAGAAATTTATTGTCTCACAGTTTTGGAGGCTAGAAGTCTAAGATCAGAGGTTGGTTCCTTCTGAGGGCTGGGAGAGAGAGTCAGCTGCATGCCTGTCTCCTAGATTCTGGTGGTTTGTGGGTAATCTTTGGCATTCCTGGGCTTGTAAATGCACCCAGGTCTCTGGCTTCATTTTCACATGGTATTCACATCATGTTTCTTCTGTTCATGCCTGTGTCCAAATTTCCTCTTTTTATAGGGACACCAGTCCTATTAGAGTCCATCCTTATGACCTTATTTTAGCTTGAATACATCTGCAAAGACCCTATTTCCAAACTAGGTCACTTTCTGAGGCACTAAGGGTTAGGACTTCAGCATACCTTTTTGGGGACACAATTCAACACATAATTTTGTAATGAAAATTTGTAACTAACTTCAACCAAGATATAACATCATGAGTATCATTATACCAAAAATATAACTTCAAGATAATTAATAAATAAAAAATTACAAGAAATAAAAAAGCAATATTAAAGACACATTGGTAGTATGAACTTTTAGTTCACTTATTTTATATCAGGAGACACTAAATAGAAAAGAAGAAGAAGAAGGAGAAGGAGAAAGATAAAGAAGACCAAAGTAAATTAATTAATAACAAAGAACTGACTGAAATGATCAAACCCATATGGTAAAAACATAAATTAAACCTACAAATGTCTACAAACTATTTGTAAAAATTCAGTATATATTAATAGGCCCCCAAAAAACAATCCCAATTAAAAAACTTACGAAGTAGAGGCAGAGGACATAAACTGAACACAGTACAATAAATGGACAGGAAAATAATAAACTCAGAAAAAACAAATAATTTACAGCTAAAAAATTGTAAATATCTCTTTCTAAAATGACTCTTGACTCAGAGAAATCAAACTTAAAATTGCAGAATATTTAGAGAGTAAAGACGATGAAAACATCACATATCCCTTGCACCTACATTATAAGTTGGGAATTGTTCTAAGTTAAATGCATAACATTAACAACTTATCTTGATAAATAAAAAATAATTAAAGTAAATGAATTATCAATGTTGAAAAGTCAGAGAAAGAAAACACATTAAATCTAAGGAGAATAAATAAGAAAGCTAGAAATTAACAAATTATAAAAGAGCTGATTATTTGAAACAAACAGTAAAATAGAGAAGTCAATAGGTAGCCTAAACAATCCAAGAGGGGAAAAGCAAAATATATGGAATAAGACATTAAAATGAGAAAATAAATACAGATAAAAAGGAAATTGAAAGATATATGCACAATTAAGTATGAAAACCAAATGATTCCTTAGGACAACATAAATAAGCAAAACTGACCATGAAAAAAAGAAAAAAACTTAAACAGACCAAATAACTGGAAGATACAAAGATATTGTCAAAGACTTTATCAACATCACCGCCACTACCCTTCTGCCCCTCTGCCTATGGGAGACCCAGACAATTTCAAGGTCCAGTCTGCTAGATCTTCAAATAGTGAATCTCTCTAATGCTAATTAAATAGTCCCAGGGCATAGAAAATACAAGAAAGAATCTGATTTTCTTTTTCAATGAAGGCACAGTATCTATATCAAAACCCACAATGATGGCAAATTTAATAACATCTGTAGACTAATGTCTTAAATACGTGGATACGTGGCCAACAACACAGTGTAAGAAGGAAAAGGAAGGAGGAGGATGAGGAGAGGAAGTTGTTGTTTAAAAAAAAAAAGGATGAAAAGAAAAAGAAGGAAAATGCAAATAGTCAAAGAGAAAGAAAATATTATCTCCAAAACCAGAGACCTTCTGAGATCCTTCTAGAGATAAAACAAGACAATGTGCTGCTCACCTCTGCAGCATCTTTGGGCTTGTTGCTTTAGTTATCACAAGCATGTTTTTACAGCTACCTGCGGGAGATTTTCTACTGAATTTAGTTCCAAAGAGTCCTATTCCTAAACTGTTCCTTTTTTTGGGTGCTATTAATTGTGTAACTGTGTTTCTCTGTTGTTTTGATAGCTAAAACATTTAAAAACCAAAAATATGGCTCATCTTTAGTAAGTGTATCTACTTTTAGCATCATCCTAGGCACTACTTTATGTCCATCTTCTATTTTTCTGTCTTCTCTGGCAGGATGAGTATAAGCCCAGGTTTTTGCAGGCTGTCCTGCTGTAACTGTTTAATAGAGTCTCTTTCATTCTTAAAAGTGTTATGTGTTGTGACAATAAATGACATAACTGCCTTAGCTTTAAGTGAAAAGTTTTGTTTTTCAAAGCCACAGGACATTTTCCAGGGAAAATGAGCCGTTAAAGAGAATGTAACTTTGAAGTTCTCCTCGACTGCTCCATAGATTCAACTCCACCTTTCTCCTTTGACTAGAAAGTATGATTTTCTTTTTCCTCTCTCTACTCCTAATTGACACCATTCCTCTCTCATGATGGGCCATCTCCCTCCCTTTTGGTCACATGTAGCCTTGTTGGAGATTTATACATTTCATGATATACATATATATATATATATAGTGTGTAATTAATATCACATTTATCCTTCTTAATTTCAGTATCCTGTTGCTAGCCAACCAGGAAGCCACCGCACTGGTTGGCTAGCATCACAGGGACCTGGTAGGAATGGGCACCTTTGAGGACGGGTCCCCGCCCATCCCAGGCTCAGTTTTTCAGTGCCCCGTGGAAGAAGGAGTGCAGGAGTTATATTAGATGGTTGCCTGTTCCT